GTACAGCACTTATATAGGTATGTTATATTATATTTAGTACAGCTTCATTAAATAGTACAGTACAGAATTTGAAAAGGTACAGTACGGAGGTTCTATATACCCGTCAAAAAGATCGCGAACAATACTTACACTTGCCAAAGAGCATATTTGGGAATATTATGCAGAAAAACAAAGCAAACAAGAATTTACAACTACATTAGTTTTTGCATAAAAAATTTGTGTATTAATAAAATAAACGAATTTTATTGGATATCAAACCGATTAAATCATGTGAACAATTCTAAGATTTCAGAAATTTTGCGGGAACGAATGACTTCGTTAAAGTGAATTTCACTGTGTATTATAATCTATACTTACATAACACATTATCTCACTGTTGATAACCGAGTCGCTTTGATGGCTGGCCTAATGACAAATCAAGTGTCTTTATCCGATATTATTGGGAACGATGATCATGTGAATGTCCGATTCTCTGTACATTTTTAGATATCTCATAATATCACAATAGCGATGTAACCCAAATGACTATTATTTATATCCGATAGTAGAAAATCAAGAGTGGCGGAAACTCGATAGAGAAAAGTCCACAAGTATGTGACACATTTACCATTGACGTGGTCGTTTTCTGCTTTATAGAACAGACGACGATTGTAAATCTAATGAACTTTAATAAGGAATCTGTAATAATAGTATGTTTCACTTAATCGACAATTTAGTTCGTTCAATAAAGTAGATAATGACAATATTGGATGTGCGTATCTTACAGTCTTAAGATCAAAGTGACATATCGCACCGATTTCAGGGTTAAACGAACATTATATTTTATACATAACAGATATAGCACATATTGGTTTACATCCTTAGTTTATTATAAATAGGTATGTACGTTAATAATAGCAAACATTGCGAGTTGCACACCTATTTAGTAACACAAGAGACGCCCAAATCTTAATGTAACAGCGTTGTACAATTCACAATAAGGGTTTATTCTTCCTATCAAGTATCTTTATGACTTTCCATAATCAATCTTACAATGCAGACGCTGCGATGTATCACATCTTCTATTTAATGGGCCACGGAAAACTTTTTGCATCGGGGTGATTCATCAAGATGCGCAAATTTTTATGCATTAATAAGAAAAAGGTACCAAAGGAGAAAAAGGATGCCGACTTCCTGATCCCTGACAAAACATCGTCAGTAAGTTCCGATGCAACCACTGCGACTATCGTCACTCCATCGCTCGCGTCCGACTTGGAAAAACTAAATCTTACCAAAGACCGCCTGAACCGTTACATCGATGAAGCAAAAGAATCAGGTTACGTTGATGCGAAATCGAGAGCTGAAGCTGCGGCATTACGAGAAAATGAAATCTCTAAAGCTTTCATCAACATTGAACGTTCGTTGGCAGTTGATCTATGCTTTGTTCTAGATTGTACCCATTCTATGAAGCATCATCTTGCCGCCGCTAAAGATTGTATCTTGCAAGTGGCCAACTATGTTGAAAACATCAATCCCAGGATTCAACCGCGAGTCGGCTTTTGCGGCTACCGTGATCATTTTGATCCACAAAATCGGTTGCAAATTTTCAGTTTTACCAATTCGTACGAAGAGTTTTCTAGAGATTTGGCGAACGTGCGAACACTCTCCGGTAAGGATATACCAGAAGACGTTCTTGGCGGGCTTGATGCAGCTGTAGAGCAGATGGCGTGGGGATGTGGTACTCGGATTCTTTTCCACATTGGTGATGCTCCGCCACATGGCCGTCGTTTCACTGAAGAGCAGGACAAATATCCAGATGGCGATCCACACGGTCTAACAGCCGAAAGTGTGCTAAACAGAATGCAAGAAAAGAATATAATCTATTTCTTTGGAAAGGTCACGTCTTGTACGGATAAGATGATTGAAGTTTTCAATAGCATAATTGGCGAGTTCCCAGTGTTTGATCTTGTGGGAGGAGACCCGACTGCGTTAATCGATAAATTCGTCAAAGCGTCTTTCTCAGCTATAGCTAGTTCTGTAACATTAACCAGCTCTCTGGGAGTTGACTCAAAGGAGATATACTCGTTACGACGGAAAAAGCTTGAATTGAACACAGAGGAACCAGATTGGACCAAGTGTTCGTTACATAGAGGCGTAATCCTACGGCATCGATATCCCATAGATTTGAGCGAGATTAAAGACCACCAGTTTTTCGACAAGTCGCACCTCGTATCTCAAGATTTTTATTTCATGATGGCTGCACAGCCTTTTTCTGCTGGTACCGAGAAATGTGCATACTTTGGTCTTGATGCCAACACGACGAGAGCCGAAAAGATTGTATTAAAAGAATATTTCAGCACGCACGAATCAAACCCTATTGAAGACTATCTTACGGCGGTAGAAGTCTCGGCTATCGCACGTTACCTCTCGGCAGTGTACAATATGCGTACAAGGAAAATGGTTAAAAAAGTGAGGTTTCTTGAAGCAAACCTTTTACGTAGCACTATTGATTATAAGACTCAATACTATACTACAGAGCCAAGATTGCAGGGTGCAGAATTTAAGCGGTTTAACGTAAATAGTGGTATGATCGTAGAGCTTCATCCCTCACTCGAAGCGTTTGCACATTTTACATATGTATATACAAAAAAATATTTGGTGGTTTACGATCTTCAAGGAATTGAGCTTGATGACCAGTTTATCCTGACAGATCCAGCTATACATTGTGTTGATCCATTAAGATTCGGAAAGACAAATCTTGGTAGTAGAGGGATTTCTGAATGCTTTTTGGCAAATCATCAGTGTAATTATATTTGTGAAAGATTGGGGCTTAGTAGCGAAAGCGGCGGGTGTTGCAACATGTTTTAATTAGAATTATAATATTTCTTCTCACTTATATAATAAATATACAGTAACTTACCAGAAATATCTCTACGATTGGGAGTATTCTATCATAATGAGTGTGCAAACTAACAAATTTATGTCTTTCGTTTCCCGATGTTTAACACTTTGTAGTCAGTTGCAAGTACCTGTTGAATGAACAATATTTACTATACACAGAATTTGAAGACGATTGCGTATGAGAATGATGTAATAGAGGGTAAGACATTTTTCTTAGAAATATTAACGTGATAAGATTAAAAGAGTAAGCTTGGTTGTTTGGTTAGGATTGGATAGTATATGCTAGAAAAGTAACAAATTGTTTCTTTTATTACTATTACTATGTTGAAGTGTGGCATGTCTGTTTCAGAATCATGGCTTCCAATACTGTTTGAGAGTTATGGTAGTGAACTTCAACAAAGTCTATTATTACAGTATCAAGTTTTGTTCTTACACAGATGATTTTCGGACTGTTCAATCTTGCACCAACCATAGTTCTTTTAATACGTGACAATCTCTGATCAGTTTCTTCGATAAGTATTACATTTATACCCTTTCACAGGGCTAGACCAAGTAAACTTGCAGGCAGTTCGTCATTTGACCGGGCTACGCCTCCAGCAAATTTACGTGTTCATAACCGGCGAATCAACTGGTGCAGGACTACGTCTTCAAGCAAACTGCAGGCAGTTCGTCATTTGACCCACTGTCCGTGGCTACGTCCCCAGCAGATTTGCGCACCCTCTGAGAGCCAACCTTACATTTCCGGTAGCAGAACAAAATGAATAACAAGACTTGCGTACTTATAAAATTTTTGATTTTCCAGCGATACCGAGATAAATAATCCGAGATATGCAAATCCGAGATAAAGGAACAATGATTTTTTTCTTCTTCTTATATCTCGGTTAAGCGTCCGTTGAAAATAGGATCGTCTAAATTTTTGTGATGGGACCGATGATCAACTGTGCTTACTAAATGACGAAAGAAGAATCGAAACGCGGAGTATTATAACATTCACGGGGACTTTTGACACAGTACAACCAACCAACCTGATTTAGGACTACCTACTTATACAGGACAACAATGCAATAATAGATTTCAAAAATATTGTTAGATATTACAACGTTCAACGTAAGCGTTAAATTCTATACTATTTTAACTATGATATTTCTAATGTACTATTATATTGGCTATGCCTACTTCGCTGAATTTTTTTTTGGTCGATGTGCTAATACATAGCTGGGAAAAAGAGGAGCAGAGCAGGTGAACAATATTTTGAACTTAATTTTCATTTTTGGGAGAGACCTGGTAAAATCACCTACGATACAATCTATCACTGTTGTATGTCGGTTTGGAATTTATGTCCATTCCGAATGGACATGTATGTCAGATTGGAATCATAAAGACAATCAGGTAACAACATTATAATATTATCTCGACTGCATATAAACATGTCATGATACAAAGAACGATGTCCTAAGACTATGAGGGTGGCAGTTTAAGTTACAAATGACAGCAGCTTTGCGACAAGCACATCGAGCCGTTGAACAGCTAATCTTACAACTACATCTAATCTTGTTTAAAATGACCAAACTTTGAGCCAAAGGAGCTTTATTATTTTGACAGAATACTTTGGGTTACAGAATGCGTTAAGTTGGTAGTTGTCTTTCTATTTGTAGACAAATACAATTGCTAATTTCATGACCAGAGTTAAGACATTAGAAATGTTACACTTGACGTCATGAAGTCGTTGCAACTGAAATCACACACACATAAACACAGTCGAAGCTCTCAAACTCCAAACTACAAGCGAGTAACTACGTATCTATGCCGTTAGCTTACGGTCGATAATAACACGTTAAATACTCATCCTCTGAAAAGCAACGGACTAAGCATATGTTTATGAGCTAAGTCACTTTTTACCACATCAAGATGAATACATTATTGTACTACTTAATCTATAAAGTACCGTTTAGACGCTTTGATGATTTTGAGACACAAGATATCCCATTCCGTGAATCATAATAACAGCGAGGAAGGTTAAAAGTTTAATAGTCAACTACTGGATCATGTTTTCACTTTTGTTATGTCATCGTATTATAATAACTGGATCGTAGCAAAAGCGTTGCATTATCATCAACGACAAGATTGTCAATTCTAACAAATATTCTATAGCAATATAGAAATAATGTTACCGAATGAAGATGAAGATTGCATGTTCAGATAAGGTACAATCTAATCTGTGTATAGCTACACTTCTAAAACAACATGGAACGAATGAAGATTGCGTATGTAAGTGATAATTACAATCTGCGTATAGCTACACTAATCGGTAAATAAACAACCTTTTCTTTCCTGACTTATAACAAATATTCTACAGCGATACAGAACAATTATGGAAATAACGTCACAGAACGAAGGTGAATATTGTATATATAAGCGATTATAGCAACACTAAACGAAGGAGACAGCCAATGTGGAAAAATTCAAAACTGTATACACTATTTCTACCATAATTTGACTGTTAATTTCTACTAACAATAAAAAGTTTATAACCCTTCGATGCTGACACTTGATACGTCTCATCATTAAGCATAGGCACTTGTCATGTGACTGAATAAACAAATAGTTACTTTAATATTAATGCATAATAATAAGCTAATGTATAATATATGTACTCAGAACGGTGTGATATGTTGTAACATTCTAATGTCCTAACTCTGGTCATGAAATTAGGACTGGAGTGACTGGAATTACTCCAGATTAGTAACGAGCCAAACGAAGAAATCAGGACCAATCACATCACAGAATTTTCGAAGAAATTTGGGGCCCGCTGTGCGAGTTATACCGTCGTTCGAATTTCCGCTGTCGAATGTTAGTATTGGTGACACCATATCCGCAATAAATTCAGAGAAGAATACGTCATCGTTCGGCTTCCGATCCTCACATAATACAAGCCTCATCCTAGGTATTTACGATGTCTGTGGCAGACTGATTTCCCTTACGAAAACCAACAACCATGCATGTTCAAAAGTCACTTAATCGGAAGTCAACTAGAATTTGTTAGCTTTCAAACAAAAAAGTTTCTTGGATTGGAATTGATGCGAGAACTTGACAAACATCGTTGTGTGACCAATACAAATATAATTGATTACACCTAATAATCAACTCACGTTACACTACATCTCGGAGGCTTTGACATACTACATCGAGCATAATTCGGTAGAAGTTTAATAATACTGATTTTTGATACACATAGTACTATAGTGTCTTTATATTATGCTGCGTATACAAAAATGGATAACAGGAATCAACGTGTACTTATACCAGAGACTGGCTGAACAAGGAAATGCCAACACTCAATTTCATCTTGGTGTATGGTATGAACGTGGAACTGGAGTAGAAAAGGATGAAAAAAAAGCAGTTGAATGGTATGAAAAAGCAGCTGAACAAGGGCTTGCCAGTGCTCAATCTAGTCTTGGTTGGTGTTATGCCAATGGAACTGGAGTAGAAAAGGATGAACAAAAAGCAGTTGAATGGTATGAAAAAGCAGCTCAACAAGGATATTCTATTGCTCAATTTAATCTTGGTTCATGTTATGAACATGGAGCTGGAGTAGAAAAGGATGAACAAAAAGCAGTTGAATGGTATGAAAAAGCTGCTGAACAAGGAAATGCCAATGCTCAATTTATTCTTGGTTTATGTTATTCCAATGGAGCTGGAGTAGAAAAGGATGAACAAAAAACTGTTGAATGGTATAAAAAAGCAGCTGAGCAGGGGCTTGCCAATGCTCAATCTAATCTTGGTGTATGTTATGCCAATGGAGCTGGAGTAGAAAAGGATGAACAAAAAGCAGTCAAATGGTATGAAAAAGCAGCTGAACAAGGAAATGCTATTGCACGAGTTATTCTTGCTGCATGTTATGATAATGGAACTGGAGTAGAAGAGGATAAACAGAAAGCAAATGAGTTGTATCAGAGTGCAGTAAAACAAGCACATATGTCAATACATGTCAGTAACAGTAAGCATTATAGCAGAATGGCAGGAGCTGCAATTGACATTAAGAATGTAATTGACTTGTGTCAATTAGGAGCTAATGGAAGAAATCCTTATGCACAATATATACTTGGTCTGTATTATGAAAATGGGGTTGGTGTAGAAGCAAATATGAAGAAAGCACTTGAGTTCTATGAAAGAGCAGCTGAGCAAGAATATAGTAAAGCAAAAAGTAAGGTGTATATATTTTATGAAAATGGGGCAGAAGTAAAAAAAAAAATACGAGAGAAGATTGAGTTGTATAAAGGTGATAAGAAGTAGGGTTGTTACAGAGCTTTTGATATTGACACAATTACAATGGATGTAAATTAGGATAGTAAATTGCATTTGCTGAAGACAAGTTATGAATATTTTTATATTAATATTAAAATGAATAATCTTATGTTTAATATTTATATTGAGTATTAAATAACATATTGATTAATAATTATAATGATATTAATTTCATATAATAATAATAGTGCCATTGTGTTTATTCACGTGAACAGTCAAGTAAAGTTTCTATTTCAGCTAAAATAATTTTAAACAAAAATGAGCATTTTGGTTTAAACTTGACGTAAATTTCTCTTTGATAATGATATGGTTGCAGTTATTGATGTTCTGACCCAAATCGAAATCTGACCCAATTCGGAATAGGGTCGACCCAAATCGCAATTTGATTTGGGTCGGCCC